ATTACAGGGATCAACTTTGTGTACACAAGATGCATTCTTATAGGTATTACAGGGATCAACTTCATATTCATAGAACCGGATTACATCACATACATGATCATATTCTTTTTACAAGCCATCCTACATTATATGCATGATCATCATCGTTTACACAGAATCACACTACATCATATACAGGATCATATTCTTTTTACAAGCCATCCTACATTATATACATGATCATCTTCTTTACACAGAATAACACCACATCATATACAGAATCATCTTCTTTACACAGAATAACACCACATCATATACAGAATCATCTTCTTTACACAGAATAACACCACATCATATACAGAATCATCTTCTTTACACAGAACCATGTAAAAAGAATATGATCCTGTATATGATGTAGTGTGATTCTGTGTGAACGATGATGATCATGTATATGATGTAGACAGAATCACACTACATCATATACAGGATCATATTCTTTACACAAAACCACACTACATCATATACAGGATCATTATCGTTCACACAGAATCACACTACATCATATACAGGATCATCATCGTTCACACAGAACCATCCTACATCATATACAGGATCACCTTCTTTACACAGAACCATCCTACATCACATACAGGATCATCATCGTTCACACAGAACCACAATACATCATATACAGGATCATCATCGTTCACACAGAATCATCCTACATCACATACAGGATCATTTGTTCACACAAATTAAGTGCACACTTTAAACATCAGATAATCCTTGTACATACAACTTCCAAGTCTGCGCTGTGAATATTAGAAACGGTATCATTATATCAACATATACATAAAATTACCTTAAACAGTAGACCCACTATTAATTCCATACAAAATGAAGTCCTGTCTCAAACATCACTTGCACCACGTGCTTTACATTCACACAAATGTGATGCTTTTATCCCTGTTAGCAGCAAACCTGGCAGCAGAAGATAAGGGGTGTTTCTACTTTGTAAAGTAAAACAAAACGTTTTATAAGACGGGGTACTAGAGCAAGAGCGAGACATTGATTGGATCTGGTAAACGATCGTGTAAACTGGCTGTACTTCAAGAGACTGATCGACCCAGACTAACAGCAAGCTCCAGGAAACGTTTTAGTTGAAAGCTGAGATTGAAGTCACCTGTGGCGTCGTTTTGTCGATGTTACAGAGATTACATACGTGGCCTCTAAAAGTGTATGATAAAACAGCATGTAAACGTTTTATAGGTTATACCCGATGTAATAACAACAATATTTCAACCCCCATATAAACCATAACATAATACTGTTTTATAGTTACCATAACACAATACTGTTTTATAGTTACCATAAAATAATACTGTTTTATAGTTACCATAACACAATACTGTTTTATAGTTACCATAACATAATACTGTTTTATAGTTACCATAACACAATACTGTTTTATAGTTACCATAACACAATACTGTTCTATAGTTACCATAACATAATATTGTTTTATAGTTACCATAACACAATACTGTTTTATAGTTACCATAACATAATACTGTTTTATAGTTACCATAACACAATACTATTCTATAGTTACCATAACATAATACTGTTCTATAGTTACCATAACATAATACTGTTTTATAGTTACCATAACACAATACTATTCTATAGTTACCATAACATAATACTGTTCTATAGTTACCATAACACAATATTGTTTTTATAGTTACCATTAACATCAGAGAAACACACACACACTGTTCATACAAACCCGTATGTAAGTTTTGGCGAAGTAATACTTAGGATATTCAGTGACTTAATTTTTAAGCGTCAAGTTTACCAGGTTTTGGGTATAACTATGTGTATCTTGGTGGTAAATTGATATATAACAAAATGTGAAACTTAATAAATAAATTGTATGTTTTTGGATATTTCACGCAAAGTTACCCAAAGGCTATCTGCGCTTATGTCCCTAATTCAGGACTGAGATACTAGGGAGAAGTGAGAATAAACGCTACTCACTGCTAACCCTTGTCTGATCAAATTTTGGGCTTTCAGTGTCACCATATAATAAATGTACCCACGGCCCCAAAGTGCGGAGCGTGATTTTTTGTTTGTGTGGTAAATGGATGTGAACACTGGACTCAGAGATCCACAGTCTTGCACGCTAGCCGTTGGATAACTCTCGGTCCCCAGAAAGACAGAAATAAACCGCTAAAAGTATAGTGCTAGCGGCATCTATTGTGAGAAACTATCAACCCAATGATAAATGTATTTCATTATTACAGAAAAGTTGTTATTACTTCTTGTTAATTATTCTTAAGATTTGTAATTTGTTTATTACAATGGATTAGTTATTGTAAATCAATCCTGATATTTTAACTTTCTTTACAAATATTTACTAATTATTGTAAATCAGCCTTCGTATTTAACTTTATTTATAAATAGTTAGTAATACTTGTAAAGCAATCTTAGTATTTATCTTTCTTTATAAAATGTGCTAATTATTGTAATCAACCCTAAGATTTGCACTACCTTTAAAAATGTGCTAATTATTGTAAT